TCATCTCCCATCCCCTTTAAAAGCCAGTTGCGCTCGCGCCATGGCGGGTTCGCTATTTACATGGTGGAATGTAAATTTTCATTTTTAAAAATGTTTGTGTGCTGCTGTGCGTCCCTGTATATGTAATAAGCAAAGTGTACGTGCGTTGTGAACCCCCCCCTTAGGCGCATATTACTAACACTCTTTAAATAACAAAGAAAAAATATTGCGCCAGACTTTAGACCAGGTAGGAGTTGGTCTATGGCTCAATCTATTTTCAGTTCCTCAAAGTAGCAACGCGCCGACAATGCACCTGAACACACCTCTTTTTTAGACTAGCACGCCCATGAGCGCACAAATGGGCACAAATGCATTTGCTATTTAAACAACGCGGCGCAGGACGGGAAAATAAGAACTGCGTCGGGCTAAAACTAGCAACACTTGCGCCGTGCCTTGCGCCGCATTGCGCCGGGTGTGTGATAGGGCCCCTAATCTAACTTTGTAAGTGGTCTCTGTATATTACTCTCAGCTCTTGCTATGTGTTCTGTCTTCTGGTATTGATGTTTATTTGTTTCTGTTCCTTAAACCTGACTTATAAAGTGACCTTGAGTGTTGGAAAGGTGCTATATAAATAAAAATTATTATTACTTTCGTAATGCCAATCCAGCATCTATGGTTATATTCATGGCGAGAACCAGTTAATCCATGTACAAGTCTTGTCTTTACACACACATCCAGGGTTAATGTTCAGTTAACCTAACCTGCATGTCTTTGGGCTGTGGAAGGAAACCAGAGCACCCGGCGTAAACCCACACAGACACAGGGAGAACATACAAACTCTACACAGAAAGGCCTCCTGTCCTTGCCAGGGCTCAAACCAGGGACCTTCTTGCTGTGAGACAAACACACACATCAGACAGACGAACCGCACAGATCACGTCTGACACACACACCGATATTCACAATACTGATCACTGTGAGACCCATTTCTCAAAACCTTTCACACAGCAGCATGTCTGTGGATCATTTATCATTGCTTTGGCACAAAATAGAAACCCTTTCAAATTCAAACTGAATTCTTTTCTCACTCAGACACAAAAACCACCAGAACTCAGTGAGTTGGCTTACAGGCCAATTTGCATATTTACAAACTCGTTCAAAAGTTGAGCTCAAAACTGAATGTAGATAGATAGATAGATAGATAGATAGACAGATAGACATTATGAATAATTTACTGCCGTTGTGTAAATAATATGTAATCATGTAATCCATGAAAAGTAACTGTAATCTGATTATGAGCACTTTAAAATGTAATATAATCAAACTACAAGTACTTGAAACCCTTTCAAATTCGAATTGAATTGAAAAAGTAGAATTCTTATTTCACTCAGACACGAAAACCACCAAAACGCAATGAGAAGGCTTACAGGCCAATGTGCACGTTTACAAACTCTTTTCAAAAGTTTAGATAAAAACTGAACATAAGACAGTAATTTGCTACATTTCTACAATAATATAATATTTAAATATATTCCAGATGTAAAAAATGAAACACCATCATAACAATTACATGTAGCTGAACACCTACACTGAAAAAGATGGCTTTGAAATCATTTTCACTAAGAAATTGTTAGTAAATTTCACAAATTATTGCAAAGAAATGGCAAGGAATAGATGTAATTAAACACAATTCTAAAGTAGAATGCCTGAAATGTTCTTTTTCCCAATATTTTTGAAAAATAATTTTTACGCCATACACAGGTTTTAGTCTTCAAATTTCATTACCATCTATACAAAAGGTGATACTAAAGGAATAATTTTGTGCTGTGATGTAAACATGGATTGCGTAACATACTGCAGTGAATTCTAGTTTTGTCAAGATATTTTACAAACATTGTATATGATAGCTGTTGCTGGTGTTTTAGGTTTTATGAGTGATAAAGTGTGTTTTTTGGATGAAAACAATGAAAAAATGACTTGATTTGAGACTGTATGAAGTGTTTGTGAATGTAAAAGTGAAATTAGTGGATGTGAAATTAAAGGAACAGTTCACCCAAAAAAGGGAAAAAACTGCCACCATTTATTCATCCTCAGGCCGTGCCAGTCCTGAATGAGTTTCTTTCTTCTGTTGAACACTAAAGAAGATCTTTTGAAGAATGTTGGCAACCCATTGACTTCCATAGTATGGAAAAAATACCAGAAACTGGTTACCCACATTCTTCAAATGATCTTGTTTTGTGTTCAACAGAAATCAGCTCAGAAGAAATCAACTTCAAAAAGGTTTGGAACAACTTGAGGATGAATAAATTATGCCAAAATGCTCATTTTTGAGTGAACTGTCTCTTTAAATGCTGTGCCAGTCTGTAAGCTGCTCGTGAGAACTGTGTCCCAGTGATTGTCAGACGACTGTAGTGTGGTCTGCAGGTAAACGCTCACCTGTGCGCTGTCCCAGGTGACTCTGTGGTTCTCGGGAAGCACTCGGCACTGAATCAGCCATCCGGCGCACTGTCTCCACAACTCCATCTCCAGCCAACTCACCTCAGATCAGCAGCGACAGCAGTGACCTAAAACCCTCTTAACACGTCCATGATCTACAAACCCAGCACTAGCTGTCCAACAGAAACTACCCGAGTTACCAGCACAGACTCAATCTAAACTGAATCCAGAAGCGATAAACTGGTCACTAAGTGTCCAGCGACTGAGCGTGAGTTCATCAATGAAGCGCCTCTCTGTCCTTTGACCTTTGCCGTCTTCCTGCTTCTTCAGGATGTCCAGCGAGCGTCTCTTGTGTCGTCTGCGTCTCTCGCTCTTTCCTCCGCGCCGCTGCTGCTGCTCTGCAACCCTGCAGAGGGGAGGAAGCCTTTCAACTGCACACAACTTCCTCTTTCCTCTTTCCTCTGTCACACACACACACACTCACACACACACACATACACACACACACACACATCTGACACTTGACTTGCAAAATTGGGGGTTTATATTCCTGCATGTGCTGCTGCTAGAGAGTGTGTGTGTGTGTGTGTGTGTGTGTGTGCGGTTTCTCTGTCT